AGTGAAAAAAAGGTCATCACTACTTACCTAAAAGAATTTAAAAGATTGTATTGGAGTACTATCAGTAAAAATATTTTAACAAATTAGATAAATATTATCATTTTTCAGAGTTTTGTTTTAATTTGTTATTATTTGACAAAATGGACAAATTCCTAGGAAGACACAAACTATCATTACTGACTTAAGAAAATTAGAAAATATTAATAGATAACTATAACAAGTAATTACTATAACAAGTAATGACAGGAATTAGCTATTATAACAAGTAATGAAAGGAATTAGCAATTAAAAAAAAAAAACCCTCACAAAAAATAGCCCAGATCCAGATGGCTTCCCTGTTGAATTCTACCACAAACTTGAAGAAAATTAATACTAATTCTTCACAAACTCTCTAAAATATATAAGAGAAATAAAACTTTATTATAAAATAAGCTTTATGTTAGAGGATTTTGTCCAACCATAGACTAAGGTAAGTGCTCTGAGAACATCTAAAGTAAGGTAGACTATGCAATGTAGTTTGATAGGTTAGGTTAATAAATGCATTTTTTACTTAAAATATTTTCAACTTATAATGGTTTTATTGGGACATAACTCCATTGTATAACAAGTCAAGGAGCCTGTGTACTCAGAAAGTCAGATAATAACAAGCACTGGCAACAATGTAGAAAAACTATAGACACAGTATACTGCTGATGTAAAATGGCATTGTCACTTTTTAAAGTTTATCTGCCATGTCTCTAAATGTTAAACTCAAAGTTACCATTTGATGCAGCAATTCCAAGTATAGGTATATATCCAAGAATTAGATACATCCACATAAAAATTCACAGCAGAATTAATACTAATTATCCATTGATTGATGAATGAGTAAAATATATCCATAAAATGAATTTTTATTTGCCAATAAAAAGGAATAAAGTACTTATATATGCTACAACATGGATAAACCTTGAAAACATTTTGCTAAGTTAAAGAAGGCAGTGAGAAAAGATCATATATTATATGGCTTTATTTCTATGAAATGCTGTAACAGGTAAATTCATAGATACAAGAAGGTAAAGAAGTTAATGTTTAGGGCTAGGAGGTTTGGAGAGGAAGAAGAGTCACTGGTAATAAGTATTCTTTTGTGGCGACAGGTAATTGGTATCTCAGAAAAAGAGGAAAGAGAGTGAAGCAGAAAAACTTATTTATATTTAAAGAAATAAACAACTAAATAGTTCCCAAATTTGGTGGAAGATATAAATTTATAGATATAAGAAGCTTGGTAGTACCTTTAATAGAATGAACATGAAGACACTAGGCCTAGGCATAACATAATTAAATTGCTGAAACAGAAGATTAAAAAAATATATTTGAAATCAACTAGAGGAAAATGACAAATTATCCATATACAAAGGAGGCAAAATTCAAACTATTACACTACAGATTCCTCATTGGGGAACTATGGACTCCAGAAGACCATGGAAACAACTCTAAAGTGATTATAACTTTAAAAATGAAACATACACACAAAGCAAAAATAGCCTTCAAGAATGAAAGCAAAGAATAATAATAATAATAATAAAGAAATTTTCAAATGAAAGAAAGCTAAGTGAATCCATTTCCACCAGACCTATAAGAAATGATAAATAATGTTATCTTCAGGAACGAATGAAAATGATAAATAACAGAAACAGAAAATATAAAAGACTATTTTTTCTCAGTTAAAAAAATACATGTGGGGCGGCACTTGTGGCTCAAAGGAGTAGGGTGCTGACCCCATATGCTGGAGATGGCGGGTTCAAACCCAGCCCAGGCCAAAAACTGCAAAACAAAAAAATACATGTGACTTTTAAAGCAAATATTATAATAATACGTTTAGATGTAATTTAAAATAAATATAGCTTAAAGGACAGTGGGAGAAGATAAATCTATATGGTTACAAAATCTCTACATTTTGTCTAGTGTTATGATGTTAGCCCTAATAGACTTTCAATATTTAGGGAAGCATATTATAATCCATGGAGCAATCAATAAAAAACCATGTAATGGGAAAATGCCTATATGTAAATAAAAATGAACTTCTAATAAAAATTTTCAAATAATCCAAAAGAAGAACAAAAACAATATGACAGGACTCACAAGAAACAAGAGTGGCAGGCCTAAATTCAACCTCATGAGTAATAACATTTAATGTTAATGGACGCTTCAACTGTAACACAGGATAAAAACAAAAGACCCAACTACAGTGGTCCCTTGGTGCCTGTGGAAGATTAATTCCAAGATTTACAGCCCCCATGGATATCAAAATTCAGAGATGCTCAAGTTTTTTATGTAAAACGGCAAACTGGTTACATATAACTTACCCGCATCCTCCTGCATACTCTTTCAAGGTGTCCAACCTTCACTGCCTTTGTGAGGACATTTTTCACTTATCTGTGGTGTCAGGTATCATAAAAAGCATAAACTAACCTTTTTTTACTAATCAAATTTCTTTTCTTTTTTTTGCATTTTTTTTGTATTAAGTCATTTGACAGTCCTCAGAATGGGAGAGGATTTTTGCAAGTTATATATCCGACAAAGGTCTAATACTCAAAATCCACAGAGAACTCAAATTAATCACTAATCAACTTTCATTAATGCTTGTGTATTTACTGTGTGGCCAAGACAATTCTTACTATTCCAATGTGCAGTACAAAATAAAAAAAGGTTGGACAACCTTACTAGATCATCTCTATATGCATTATTTATAAATACTTAATACAATGTAAATGCTATGCAAATATTTGTTATACTGTATGGTTTGTTTTTGGTTTTTTTAATCCATGGATGTAGAACCTGCATATATGAACGACCACTGTGTATGTTCTCTACCGGAAGACATAATATATGTCTAATGATAGTCCTCAAACCAGAAAGCAAAAATAGGCAGAAGTGAGTAGTAGGCAATTCCATAATCACATTTAAAAATTTAAAAAAATTTTATTCCACTCTTTCAGGAATTGAGAGCACTAAACAAGTATCAGTTAAGTAACAGGGAATCTGATTAACATAACCATCTTCATCTATTATATATTCTAAGTATATAAAGCAGAAATGAACAGAAATACAAGGGAAATCTACTATAATAGGTATTTTAACTCACTTCTCTTAGCATTGAAATATCAAACAAAAAATTACCAGAGATTTATACCATACAAAATGAAAAATATTTCAAGTTTGACTTTTATCTGACAATCAGAAAATGTACATTCTTCTCAAGCACCCTTCACGGTAATTTGCCATGCTCTAATTATAAAGAAAATCTCAGTAAATTCTATAGTATGATGCCACATCCTCTGACTCAAATTTTTAAATCCATAATAAAAAACATGATTAGAACTTAGAAAACACATGGCTTTCTAGTTCATGGGTCAAGGAAAATTAAAATAGGAGTTAGAAAATACCTCAAACTGAGTATTAATCAAAATTGTATGTCATCAATGAAATTACATATTAAAACTTATAGGATACAGTTAAAGTAGTAACTAGAAAAATTTTATTTTAGGAAATAAAAAGTCAAAATAAAGGGAAGAAAATAAACTCAAAGAAATAAACTCAAATAGAGAAATAAATGTTTCTATTGTCAAAATCATTGGTAGTTGCTTAACTAAATCATGATGAGGCAACAGGAATTTAACATGATTTTACAAAAGACATAAATGCTGATTTCTTCAACTACCTATGAATAGAACTTTATTTATATTAATATAAAAGCAGAATTACAGAAAATAACCAAACTGATAAAACAAATATGGATATGATAAAATATATGAAAGAATAAAATATTCAATAAAGACAAAAAGAACTAATAAAAATGCTAGTATTTGAGAATACAAGGAAGTAAATCAAAAACTTAGGAATAAATATCATTAGACATCTATATAAAAGGCATGAGGATTTGAGGGCAAGGAAGGAAGAATGAGACAATGTGGCAGGAAACTGCCATATAACAAAATAGTTAATCCTGACTGGCTATGTAGCAAATACCTATCTGGAGTTTCCCTAACGGCAATCTCTAAATAAAAAAAATCTTTAAGTGTCTAAATGTAAAGTTATCTCTAAGTAAAATAGCCAGGTTAAATGTTGCAATAATTTAATCATTGCAGATGGAGCATGTGACTGGGGAACAAAAATAGGTCAGGCAAAACAACATGAAATAATTCTAAGGAAAGTTGCGATGAGCCGTTTTATAGAAAACATACCACTATTTTCTAAATGTGACACTATAACAAATACTTGGAAACTCTAAAATAGAATCTGTTAGTTAGGGTTTAACCTAACTTATAAACAGCCAATAGTGTGAGGTAAACATGCAACTTAGATCACCACCAATATTACCTGAAATAATTTGGTCACATGAACTATACATATTCATATGTTCGATTTTTTTTAATTCTACCCAGTCAAGTATATTAATACAATATAAATTCTCACTTAACATTAAACTCCTCATTTAGGATTAAAATATTCTTTTAATATGGAAGGTAATAAAATTTTTAAAAACCTATAACTAAAACCATAGTCATCATAATTTAGTGTAATCAGATGGCGCAAATGGAAATAAGTACAAGAATCTAGAAAACAAAAGACTATAAAGCGGTAGAAAAATCAGGTCTCAAAGTTCTATCTGTATAGCCCTATTCTCTCATTTGTTCCTCAACTCTTAAAACTGGACAAATTTCCCATATTATCTCCTCTATCTCAGACATATCTACCATTCACTGTCCATTTTTTGATTAGTACAATCTCTACTGTATAAGTACAGTTTACAAGATAGGGACATAGGTTGGTAGGAAGAGGGAAAGCATGGAAAGTTTGAGGATATGCTGGTGGAATTTGTAGGAGGTAAAAAGAAGTATAATATTAGAACCAGAAGCCATGTCCTATTACTCTTTTCAACCAAACACACTGATACCATCTCTACTACTTCTAGGCACTATAATGTCAGTGTTTATCTCTTTTGAAAACATACATCTTACCATGTGGAATTGTGGTCTGGAAAGGGCGACTTGGGCTTTTCAGGTTCCATAAAGTCAAGCTACCATCTGAATGGCTGCACATGAACTGTTTGCCCTCATGATGCCAATCAATTGAATGAATAGCCTAATAAAATAATAATTAAAAACAAGTAGAGGAGGAAAAAGTAGATATGTCATTCTATATTACAAAGGAAAAATATTTATATATAAAATTATTATACTTATAACACTTAAGAAACATGTAATTTTTTTCACCCAGGTAAAACTATCTTAGGTTTCTACCCTCTACAAGTATATAAAAGGCTACTAAAACTTACTTCCTGAGGTAAACAAAAGCAAATTTCCTAGTGTTATTACATTCTAAAACTTTTTGTTGTAAATCTATGTTTCCTGTATCCTCTAGTAGTTACCTGAAATATTATTTACATGGAAATAAAAGTTACTAGAAAATAATTTCTGATAGGGTAGAGTTCTAATACAACTCAGTCAGTTTGAAAAATAATTTAAGAATGAATTACCATATGAAAGCTTTCTATGTGTCAAACCCATAGCATTTTTAAATATATTGTCTCAATATATTTAGTTATTGTCTACAAATGGTATTTTTTTCAATTCATACATGTGAAATAAGCCTAGAGAGACTGAGATACTTGCTCATGTCATACAACTCAAAGCCATGGTCTAACTACAAAAGCCATATTCTCAGTCACTGCTCTGACAGTATCTAGCATATGCTATTTGAATTGATTTAAAGCAAGAAGGGCTTAATCTTTTTTTATATTTTCAGGTTCACTCTGTAGCTTTGAACTAGATAAGATTCAAGAATAATTACAGTGCATTCCTCAGTATTCATGGAGGAATGGTTTCAAGACTCCCTCCTTTGTCCTCTGCAGTTACCAAAATTGATAGATTTTCAAGTCCTTTGTATAAAATGGCATGCACATCTTCCCATATACTTTAAATTATCTCTAAATTACTTTTAATATCTAATGCAATGTAAATTCTATCTAAATAGTCATTATACAGTACTATTTTTTATTTGTATGATTTTAAATTATTACATTGTTATTTTTCACTGTTTTTCCTGAATATTTTCTGTTGCAATTGGTTGAATCCACAAATGCAGAACCTGTAGAAAGGGAGGGCTGTGTTCCAATTTTCCAAGTTATCGTATGCCCAGTGCTAGCACAGTGCTAACACCTTACATATAGTACTCAATAAATACCTTTTGAATGAACAAGTAATTAATGTCATACACTTTTCTCCATTCCCTTAGTATTCTTTCTACATTAATAAAGTATATACACAACATGGGCAAAGTGCTATTACAATGAGAAAAATTCTAGCAGACATAAAAGCAGAACAGAATACAAGATCTTTTTCTTAAATACACTTTCAAAATATCAAGAGAAAGATCAACATAAATATTAATCATAGCTTTTACTTATAACTTTTAACATACATATATAACTACTTTTTAAAATATATATACATACATATAACTACGAAGAACTAAGTTATATATATAAAACTGTTAAAAGTTTCAAATAATAAGTATTTTTAAAGTTACAAATAGTTAATGGCTAGAATAATCATTACACATGTCAAAAAGGAAATAAGATCTTTTTGTGCCTCAAAAAATATGTAAAATTTGATTATATTCAAAGATTAAACTTGAGTTTTCTCTCACCCTAGAATACATTACTATATGGACATTTCTTTTTTGCCAGAGTCCAGCAGAGGCAGTTAGAAGGAAAATATTTCCTCAATTTGTCTCTTCTCCCTTCTGTAGGTGGTTCAAAGGAAGAGTCACTCCCTAATGTTAACTTCAATGAATGACAATCAATTTAAAGTTCTCTTGAACTGTTTTGCCAAAGGTGGAGGAAAAGAAGGCATTCTCTGTCATAAATCACCTTCTTATTTCAATAAATTTCTGTCTATTGGAAAAGATAGATATAAAAATAGTAGCTACAACAAAGTCAAAAGTACTATAAAATAGATATGGTTATTGTACAGAATAGGCAAGTAAAACCAACTGGTTTGAGATAAAATGTCAAATTATTGAGAAGCTGACATTTCTTCTGACTCAATGTATATTTTATTTCTATTTGTTTGATTTTATCTAACTCTTCTTTTTAAAAAGGGGTTTAAAGGTTTTACTGAAAAAGAAAAATGTAATACAACTAATTCAAGAAGAATTTTAAAGATATAGAAAACAGATTCTGAAAGATAAAACACTAGCCAGTTTTGTCAACTCAGTGGTTAAGACTGAGTTCATTAAGAACAAAAAGAAAATTCAAAAAACTGCTTAACAACCTAAAAAAGTAAATACGGCAGTTCCTCGAAAAATTAAAAGATTTTTCTCATGCCAGATGCTAAAAGTTTTTCTGTGACATATTGAGAATTCTTTATGTAACAAAACACAAATTTTGTTATGAAAGCTTTATGAAAGTAAAATTCAGATATTTATGTTGAAAAATAAACTTGGATTTCTTTAAACTTTCAATTCATCAACTGCTATTCATGAAGGGCTTAAATAGTCCAAATGACTTTACAGTGGCTAAAGACTTATCAAGATTTTGATAAACAGAAGAACAAAGAAGAGAGTACATGATGAGGAATTAGCAGAAGCAAAGGCTTAGAAGGAAAATAAATGGTATGTTTAGGAGATAGGGAGTGATATGTCTGAAATTTGGGGACTGTGCAGAAGGATGCAGTGAGTTCAACTAAAGGGAAAAGATGGCACTAGAACTTTAAATCTCATGTCATGAAATACGGACTTTGTATTGTTGACAGTTGCAGGTCATTTCAAGGTTCTGAGGTAGAGAATTATGTTCTATGCTTTTAAATGATAATCTTGTTAATGAAAGACATCAGAGGAAAGGTGATTAAAGGGCTCTTATAGTCATCCAACATTAGATGTGAGAACCAGAAAAGAGAGGAAATAAATGAGAGACAATATAAAGACAGAGTCAAGAAGACTGCAAAAACTGATTGCAGTTGATATATGATGTAGAAGGAGTCAAATATTACTGTACTGAGTTAACTAACTTCTGTTGTTTTTTAAAAAAAATAGAAAGAGGTTCAGGTATTTAAATACAAATTCAGTACCAATGAGATATTTTCTCTGAACTTATTGAAGAGATGGTTATATATACTGAGATCTAAAGCTTAAGAGAAAAGTAAAGGACAGTAAAAGTATGATGTTAAATATTTCAACACAAAGGTAATATATGAAATTATGGGAGAGGACACAAATATAAATATAAATTGAGGAGAGAAGAAAAGAGGGTGAAGACATACTACCCCGAAAAGCATCTGTAATTTTAAAGAGCACTAAGGAAAGAATCAGTGATGGATAAAGGAGGCATGATAAATGAGAAAGAAAGACACAAGTAAAGAAATAATTTAAGAGACTGAAGTAAAAGTCACAAGTTTAGTGAGGAACTTAAAGACTAAGATGGGGTTACTCTGTATGAGGAAATCCTTGGTGACTTATGAAAAACCATTTCAGATATTTGTTAAATATGGTTTCTAGATATGAAGGTAAAGTGCCAAGTGAAGTTTGAAAAGTTTGTCAGTGAAATGAAGTATGTGACTATTTCTATAAAAATGATAGAACATATTAATTGTCCACTAAAGTAGAAAGGTATAATGCGGTACTCTACTACCTTTGGCTGTGGCAAATCCTTATTTAAAAAATTCATTGAAAAATTACTTTTACTCACTTTTTAAGGGTTGGAAATTTCCTTCCATACTTTCTAAGGCCATTAGAAAACTAGCTGATTCAGCATTTCCCTTTGAGGTTTCTTTTTCAGGCTATTCTAATTCCTGCTGGCTAAATACCCAGATTGTAAGAGAGAGAGAAATATCACATCCATCTTTATATTCTATATATATAACAAAAGGAAAATCCTAATTTAGTGCCCTAAGACCCTTCTTTCTTTATGATTCAAGAAGCAACAGAAGTTGGTCATAAAGAACACATGATACTGTCAGATTATTTTTCACTAATCATGATAAAATTACCAAGCTGCTAATCATTTACTTCTAAAATCTTTACCACAGTGACAACTATTTTATATGTGTGTGTGTGTATATATATATACATACACATACACGTGTGCACGCATGCATACACATACACGGTGCCAAAAAATGTATACACATTTTAAGAAAGGGAAAAAAACATATTAAAATTGCAATACTCAGTATATACCAATAATAAAGGATGAATACAAATCACATTTGAGCACCTCTTATAATTGCAGAAGTCAAACATCATGTGAAAATTATACATTTAATACAGTTTTTTCTTTTCTAAAAATTTGTATACATAATTTTGGCATCCCTTCTATGTATTTATATAAAATACCATAAACCCTTAGTTGGAGAGAACCACTAAGAATGAAGTATGGAGTCTATGAAGTAGGTGAAGGCTTATGTCTTTAGTCACCAAAACTTGAAAAATTTGACAATTATTAAGGGGCATGGCAGAGAACATGTAAAGTATCTTAATTGAGTGACTATAGGTTCATTTGGTAACATTTTTTATTCCTCCATGATAAAATGAAGATATTTTCTAAAAGAAATATATGTATGTGTTTCTTTTTCTGTTTATTTTAGTACTGCCTTATTTGGTGCTCTTCCTATACAAGAATGGGTTTTTACTGGATGGAGATTTCTGACCTATATTTTTCTTCTATTTATCCCCACTCCCACCATTTTTCAAATTAAATTAAGAGCATAGATGATCACCTTTATTTCCACAGCTACAAGAGGTAATTTCCCTTTTCACCTTTTGCCCCCAGCTTCACTGTCTTCATATTACTCTCTTCTGAAGGAGAAAAAAATTAATGGCCTAGAATCAATATTTCAACAACTAAAGTATCAACTGGGAGACTACACCTTGATAAATGGGAGTTTGTTGCTTCCCCTAAATGAAAACCTAAACAAGTCTCAATTACATACAATAAAGCTAACTTCAATATCTTATTGCCACTTATTAAGTATCATGATTTACAAAATTGCTCTCTATTCCAAGAAGGTTAATATTAGAAGACAAGGCCTTTCAAACTGACTTAAACTTTCTGGCACAGAAAATGAATTTTCTAAGGTACATAGTGTCTTTAAGAGACCTTAAAAACAATGAGGAACAATACAGCTTGAAGCTTAGAGGAAGAAAAAGTAGTTGAGATAAGATTGGGGATACATTAGGTGAAAGGACCAAAGTATAGAAGATGCAAAAAGGGGTGGGGGGCAAAATAGGCAGTGAAGGCAGAATTCCCTCTCAGAAAAAAACCCAGAGTTGGAATTTGTACAAATACAAAACAGAGTATGATATAATCAGGCAGTTTCCCAATTCCCCTTTATTTTTTTAATTTCAGAGTTTTATGGGGGTATACACATTTTGGTTATATAATTTGCTTTTGGACACTTTAAATCAAAGTTATAAATGTGCCCTTCCCTTGTGTAAAATACAAAGCTTAAAAGTAGAAAACAGGCACAGAGTCCCAATACCTTGATTTCAACTATTTCGGTAGAAATCACTTACCTCATCATAATAAACTCTTAGTTCGGCTCTTTTAGATTTCAAGTCCCAGAATACTACAGTTCCATTTTCATAACCTATTAGCAACTGGAAAACATCCAAACAAAATAGCTGATGTCACAATAATATTTCTGAAAAATTTACCTTAAGATGATTTTCTTAAAATACATTAGTAGTATTCCTCTCATGAAAAATTTTGTGTAGTGCATTAAGATCTTTCAAGTAACTTCAAAGAAAAAAAAAACAGGTAAAACCAAAAATATAATGGTGGAAATAACCTATTCCTACATAGCATCCCGACACATTATCCCTAACCTCAACATTATACAGATGATGCAGAAAAATGTATACGTATTTTAAAAAAGAAAAAACTGCATTAAAGTTGTAATACTCAGTATATGCCAATAGCAAAAGATGAATACAAGTCATGTTGAGCACTTCTTGTAATTGCAGAAGTTAAATGTGACTTGAGTATTACAAATTTAATATGGTTTTTTTCTTAAAATGTGTATATGTTTTTTGGCAACCTCTGTATAATGAGGCACAAACCCTAGCATTTTGTGTAGTTTTAACTTAAAAAGCCACCAAAATTTCAAATACCAGGTCATTAAATGATGTATATTTATTTGTAAAGCTATACCATAAATGTTTGGCCATTAAAGCACACAAATTTTAAAACTGATTTGATAAAAATTGAGCTTTTTATATACTAATTTAAAGAAAATGGCAATATGACTTGCTAAATTAATGTCAAAATTAAATATTTTTGGATATTTTAAAATAAAATTTATATAAATTTTATACATAGATATATTCTAAGTATAGAATTCAATAGAATTCCTTCACATACCAGAGAAAATCATGAACATTAAAACCAATGTCTATTCAGTGTATGAGATGATGGAAAAGGACATTTGTTGGTTTAAAAAGTTTGGAAAATATTGCAAGCAAGAAAACGAATAATATAATCTTTCTAAATTTGAGCCCAAGATGTAATATTATTTTCAAATACTATATTTTTCAAAGCAAATATCTCAGCTAAAAATTACTTTGTTTATAAAACATTACTAGCAATAGCCCCAGTAAATCATAAAATATAAAATACTAAACCACAAAATATCATAACTTGTTGAGATAATTATACAAGATTATTATACAGGGAATACAACCATAGAATCATTTAAGAGAATTAAAAAAGAGAAAAGCATCCTTGACATTCAGGAGACATTATATAAGGACACTCTGTGACCATGAGAGATCAAGATAAAAACAAGACCAGTCTGCAATCATAACTGACCACACTAAAACACAAACATCTCCCAAGCTACAAATGATACATGTATTTTTTTTAAAAGAAGAAAATTCTTTCACAATAGAATGTTAGTACCATAAAGACAAAGGAGTAGGGTGACTTGTTATGATATCATTAGAAACTAAAACAATGTCTGAAGAAAATAGGTATTTGATAAATATAAAATTAATTATTGAATACCAAAAAGTAAAAATTATAGCTACTATATTCTAAATATAGAAAAACGAAATTAGATAAAAATATTTTAGAAATTAAAAAAATCTCTAAGTGATGGGCAAAGAAGAAATCATAATGAAACATGTGAAATAGATCTGAACAAAAACGCCTCATACTAAAGCATATGGGAGACAAATTAACCTTAATCAAGAGGGAAATTTATGATGATTGTGCCACTATATTCCAGCCTGGGGACAAGGCAAGACCCTATCTTGAGGGAAATTATTTAATGATATAATCATTGATTTTAAAAAGTCAAAATAAAAGAGTAAATAACAGAATGCAGAAGAACATATAATGAGCCATTTTATTCAAGAGCAAAGGATATGTTACATATACATATCCTTTCGTGTATAATTGCACACAAACTTTATAGACTCCTTGTATTAAGTATTTATTTTATTATTATTATTAAGTACACTTTTACACCTTTCAGGAAGTTGGAACGTTTTCCATGTATTGATTTTCTTGTTAATTTTATGCCTAATTATTTTGACTTAAAAGAACAATGTATAGGAGGTGGAGGCGAGATGGCCAACTGAGCCAACTTTCCACAGAGGCTCCTGTCCAGAAGGAGAGTTAAAGGACAGAAGTTTAGCAAGTAAGCGAATGGTTTGGAGCTGAGCCAAGAGAGAAGGTTGAAGAAAGTACATCAACCCTGCTGAGGTGAGCTGCGACCCCAAAGATACAAACAAAAGTACAAAATCCATTGCCAAGTGGACGGGTATCTCCTCCCCCTTGAGAACAGCTCACAGTATACTTTCTACAAATAAGTGAGCAGAGTTTAAATGTGCTCCCATTTTATCCCATGGGAGAGACAATCTAAAAACTGGATCTCCTTCCTCTACTAGGGGACCATGGCACTCTCCTGCCAGGCATAAAACTATATAAAACTGTACATATTCTCTACCTGCAATTCTGAACTCCCAGCCCTCCCCTCCACTTTCACCTGAGGTCTGGAAGCCTATCCCCCATGGAGTCCAGATTATTGGGCATTTTCTTGAGAGGTATGGACAAGGCATAGGCTGTTGCAGGTCTGTGCTGATTCTGCAGCACAGGGGTAAGGAGAAAATGGTGGACTGAAGGAACCATAAGGAAGAGAGAGGTGGTACCCCCCAGGCACAGAGCAGCAACAGTTGGAACAATACGGCTTACACCCCTGGGGATATTTTGGAAGGATACTCCCTATCTCTCTGGGCAACCAGAGAAAGCCAGGCATCTTCTCTGGTGGCAGACACTGGTGGAATATATCTGGGATGGTAATGCAGACCCCGTGAGCAATGGGTATGCCTGAGGTGGTACCAGCCTGGGTGGAGGGTGGCAGGACAGAGAACTGAAGATGCCTGAGCAGAGATGGCATACTCCCAAGTTGGGGCTGAGCTAGGACTGCTTAGTGAGCCTAAGAAACTCCCAGCCCTCAGGGAATCATAGCTGAGACAAAGGCAGGCAGAAAACCGAAAGCTGAGTGTAATCTCTAACAAGACCCACCCCAACATAGACTGCAGGGGAAACAAAAACACTAGCTCTGGGCAGTGGTGGCACAGACCAGGGCTGAACCACAGTTTCTATGAACTCAAACAGCACCTGCTCTGCAGAGGAATACAGCCAGGACAGCATCACAAATTCTGCACAAATACGTGTCAGCAACATCAATCAGGAGCAGGGCTGGAAATGAGTGAACCGCCTCAGCTTCCATTAACCACCTGAGGTTGTCAGGCCTCAGTTTCCTCTGCTGGATGGTGGCAGAGTGCGGAGGCCTGGCCAAGAAGATATAAGATCTCTCTGTGACTCAGGCAGGCTCAAATCCTGGGAGCATCTGTTCATTTTTGGAGGGAACTGGGTCACAGCCCTGCAGGGTTACCAGTGACTGGGTGTGACAGAAGTACAAGGTGGGGAAGGAGGCATCGACCTTCCCAGACTAATTCATTTGCTGGGGGGGGTCCTTCTGACTCCAGGGAGCACCAGAATGAGTCATACTCAAGTTGCCAGCAGACCCCTGCTATATAGTTTCCAGGGACATTTGAACTCCTTCACTTGAGACCAGGTGCTGACTGGGACAACTGACTTGGACCTCTCAGACTGGACCAATCACCCGAGGACTATCCAAAGTGGTACCCCGGGTGTGTGGAAGGTTTGATTTTCCTTTTTCAGTAGTTGCCCATGGGGGGTGGTGGTGGTGGAATGACTTAATTGCTGGTATGCCTCCATAGCTGAGACTTCAACCCAGAGTAACTAATTCACTAGGGTAGGACAGAGACCAGCTGAAAAGAAGACAGCCATTTAGCCCCACCACACCAAGTGAGTCCCTAGTGTCTCAGACCGTAGCACTGTATGAGTCCTTGGCAAAACTCTAGGGGAAAAGGTACAAACAACAGTCACAGCTCTTGGGTAAAAGGCTAGTTAATCACTACTCCAAGAGCCCCCAACCCAACGTCACCTTATCTGCTCATCTAGCCAAATGGTGTAAAATGATCATGGGGCAGAATCAGGGGAAAAACTCTGGTAACATGTATAACCAGAGTAGATGAACTTCCCCAAGAAACGATACGGCGAATTTGTAGCCCTCAAAGATCTGAGAAATGTAGTAGAATCCCTCAGTAACAGAATGGAGCAAGCAGAAGAAAGGATTTCTCACATTGAAGACAAACAGTTTGAAGGCTCCCAAGCACTGAAAGAAGAGAAATGGAGAGCAAAAACAGATCATTCTCTCAGAAAGCTCTGGGATAATTTGAAGAAAACTAATATTCACCTTATAGGAATTCCTGAAGGTGATGAAGTGGCTTTCCAAGGCACAGAGGCTCTTTTTTTATGAGATTATAAAGGAGAACTTTCCAGACGTGCCAAGAGATTCTGAATTTCAGATAGCAGACAGTTTCAAAAACCCAGCATGACTCAACTCAAATAAGACATCTCCTAGGCACAGCATAATTAACTTCACTAAAGTTAATATGAAGGAGAAAATTCTAAAAGCAAAGAGATATAAGAAAACCATAACCTACAAGGGAGAGAATATTTGAATGACTGCAGACCTCTCTGCTGAAACCTTTCCAGCTAGAAGAAGGTGGTCATCGACTTTTAATCTCCTAAAACAAAATAACTTTCAATCCAGGATCCTGTATCCAGCTAAACTGAGTTTCATTTATGATGGAGAAATTAAATACTTTAATGACATTCACATGTTGAAGAAATTTACCATAACTAGCTCTCCAGGATATTCTCAGACCTACCCAGGATACTCTCAGACATATTCTCCATAATGAGCAGCGCAATCCTCCACCACAAAAGTAAACTCACTCAGAAACTTCTGTTCAAATCCAACTTCTGCAGTGGTGAAGGATTAAAAATGTCCACTGGACTTTCGAAAAACTCAATACCCAAAATTCTACCAGGCTTATTAATATTTTCAATTAATGTGAATAGCTTAAATTGTCCTCTAAAGAGGCACAGGTTGGCTGACTGGATACAAAAACTCAGGCCAGACATCTGCTCCAAAGAAGAATCTCATCTTACCTTAAAAGATAAATATAGACTCAGGGTGAAGGGATGGTCATCTATATTT